AAGGAATTTGATGACAACATCCCCGCCCGGGCCTTTGATAACTTTCAGGCAAGTATTTCGAACTTTAATTGCAATGGATAGTCTATATCATCTTGTTGGAGTATATATGCTTTATTATGTTTTCTTTCTTCAAACTTTAATTAAAAGGTGCCGCTTTATTTTGCCTTCTGTAGTTTGTGAATTTTACGGAAATTATGGCAAAGAATATGGATCGTTCAAGAAAAGAAGCGGAGTTTGCTCTTGCAGCACTGATGGAAATACCCTCTCAGTATAAAGCAACGCTAGAGCTTAATATTTTAGGGTAAATCTATAACTCCTCCTGGCTAATGGGCTTTGAGGGATTTACTATTGCAGCTTTGGGTTACATAAGTTCATTTGCAAATCATCATTTCGTTTCATTGCTTATATAGTGCTACAAGAGGGAAGGCTATAGATAGGATACCTCTGCCCCCACCTCATTACGGTTCATCTCCTTTTAGCTCCCCAAAAACTTCACGATCAAGTAGTTTTCGTCCAAGTGCACCTTCCAGGCAACGTGATGAATTTGTTAGCGCAGCACATCCTACCGGTTCAGCTTCTGACAATCAAGTAACTGCCCCCTTCCTACTATTTTTTATGAGGAGGCTTAATACGTATGGCATCGACATCAAATTCCTATCAAAATGACAAGTTTAGACATATTTTTTTATTCTTGCAGGTGTGTCCCATTTGCCTAACTGATCCGAAGAATATGGCATTTGGTTGTGGACATCAGGTATGGCTTATACACATCTTTTACACCTTTCAGAATTGGATGAAGGTTTGAACAACAAATAAGTGAGTTGGATTTTAATATTGTTTGCAGACATGCTGTGACTGTGGACAAGATCTCGACTTATGTCCCATTTGCAGAACCAGCATCCACACCAGAATAAAGCTCTATTAGGTGTTAATCTGTGTGAATTTTGGACCGCTGCAACTTCAAATCAAGACCATTTCAATTCGTTGCAATCGTTTTTCATCAAAAGGAACTGAGTCCCTTGTAGATATCTTCCCTTTTCCTGGATGAAGGACGTCTACATTTGGCGGTCATGGTCGTACTTGGAAACTCGTGGTTAGAATTGCTGCTACTGCGAGTTCTGTGTTTGTTTGAATTTTTGTTTCTTGTCGTTGTTTTCGCGTCTACTTATTTCTACCTTGGTCCAATTAAATTCAACATATTAATGGTTGTACGCCTCATGTATGTACACAAGACATACTTTATATAGTCAGTCAGTAAAGCTCACCTTCTGGCTCATCTACAAGGAAAAGGATCCTCGTTGGAGGAATCATGTGATCGTGACTGTTCATCGTATATCGTGTAGTTTTTGTTAGGTACTATTTATATTTAATTTTAAATTTTAAAATGATTTCTGATCGCATAATGTACGATGAACGATCACAATTACAGAATTCCTAAGATTCTTAGGAAAAGGATCTGGCAAGGATCCCTTTTCCAAAGCACCTATCTCAGCTATAGCATGTTGTTTCAGCTCAACAGATGCATAAGCGACATGTCGTTTCTATGTCCAACACAAACAGAAAGATGAATTGTCGTTCATCAACTTTACAATATGTTCAATTTTTCTGGCCGGAGTTAATGCAAATTTGAAAAGATCTTCACAAGCAATAAGCATGGAGAATTCATAGGATAAAATGATTGAGTTTCTTGGAAGACAAATCCTTCCCACCTTCACAAGAAAATACTTTGTGTTATTAATTCATGTATTATGAAAAGGGTGAACAACATAGTTGATCATTTCTCAGCCTAAGTAAAATCAATATTGAAAGTATATGTGTTATAATACAGGTGAAATTGTAGCATCACATGATACTAAAAACTTGAGGATGATTGTCATATTAACACACAGTATTAAAACACGTGTTATGATATGTGTGGACAACACAATTACTTTTTCAACCTAACTTATATCAATAATAAACAAATAAATAAATTATAACTTAAGTAAAATTGTAATATCACGTGACAGTGTGACAGTCACAGTCAAAACATAACTCCATTCCCACCGCTTATTGCATGAAGACCGAATAAGTTGCACATCACAAAACCAAACGCCCCGATAATGTAATAAGCGCCCACACTTTCACAGGAAGAGTCTTTCTAAAAATTCTACTACTTTTTGTACGTGAGCAGCCTAAATTTTAGCCAACTAGCCTAAGTATTAAAAAGCTTCCACTCTTTTCACATCACTCAAACACTCTTACTCTCTCATGGCGCACCACAATCGCTTCCCTTCTGGGATGAAATCTTTCCACACTGCTGGTTCTTCACATTGCATTGTATCGGATTTAGCAACGCGGTTGCAGGAGGCCGAAAAGGGGAATGGCCACTGCTACTAAACAACACCATGTGACTATGCATATGGCATTGACACACCACAACACTGTCATCATGTTTGACCAACAGAAGCAGGCCCTTGGGCTACAGGCTTCGAAGGCGCCACAATGGAAGCAGATGCACGGATAGCCGCGATGATATAGCAGACTCGTCGTGCTATGCTCACTCCGTGGAGTATGACATTTCTAGCAACAAAGTCAGGCCACTGAGGCTGTACATGATACCTGGTGCTCATCGGGGTCTTTCTTGAGCAACGGGACACTTCTACAGACGGGTGGATATGGGAGTGGCACTCGAAGAATTCGGTACTATAGGACTTTTGGTGATCGAAAATGTGATTGGTGGCAGTCGGAGCATGATAGGGTTACTGTGGTTGGTGGAACAAGGACATTTAGGATACTTCATGTTTTTAAAAGAAATTGCCATTTTAATGTAATTCTCATGATTATAATCAAAGGATTTTCTATCTTTGTTCTTTATTTATCTTCTTACGTGCTTGTTTGAAAATGCTTTTAAAATAACTAAAAGTGCTTTTAAAACCATTATGAATGTGTTTGATAACAAAAAATTAAAGGTGCACTTCCAAGAAGCATTTGCATTTTAATTAAATTTTTTTTTCAAAACCCTTATGAACAGAAGTGTTTTTCTAAAAAGTATTTTTAAGGCTTTTTAGCCAAAATGATTTCTAAGATTGGCGTAATTTTTCACTTTGGCCCATGACACTGAAAATTGATAAAAGTGATCCCTGAGTTTGTCTACCGTTAATCATTTTATTCCTTATGTGAAAACTCTGTTAATATTCTCGTTAAGTGTAATAGTTGATTTGACAAAAATATTCGTAAAAAGGTGGTCACTAGGTCGTTCACGTGACAATTTAATGAGGATATTGACATATTTTTCATGGAATGACCAAAATGATTTACCGGTGGACAAACTCAATGACCGCTTCTATTAATTTTCATTGTTAGAGATCAAAGTGAAGAATTATGTTAATCTCAAGAACCATTTTGCCTAAAAAGCTCATTTTTAAACGAGGCCTACATTAAACTTGTGCACTTATGCTTGATAGAAGATGATATTGACGTTGGTAGATTTGCATGTGTGGTTTCTAGACCATGAACGTCAATGGCATATACAAGCGGGGAAGGTTTAGGTTGAGTAGCCATACAAAATTACGTCTTGTTTCAAGCATATATCTTGATTCGATCGGCTTCCCATGAGAACGTTTTTGTCATATAGTTTGGTATGTTATGTTCGACTGTCAATCTAAATATTAGTCCAATAATTTCTTACCTAAACTTGCGACAAGAAATTTACTTTTGTGGGATTCCCTTGTGATAGAGATCCTAGCCTGATAAAGCATGAGAACCTTAAATTATCAGAGTTTAAACTACCATTACCAAGTATTTCAGCTGCATTCATTGCAAACTACTTTCTTCACTTTAAATTTGTCACTTTCATCATTTGAGAGATATCTAAATCCACAGAAAGAAAGAAAACAAAAAGCTGACTCCATCTAGCTCTAAACCTTTTCTACTTCGAAATGGCATCGATCTCACAACTTGCTTACCAAAGACTGAGAAACGAAGGTCTGTTTGATGAAAAAACAGATCAGCAAAACACAGCAATTAAATTCAAGAACATAAGGGGTCGGTCCAAGATCAGGAAGCTAACCGGGCGAAGGCGGCCAAGGGTTCGGATTCAGGGCTTGAGAAGGTTCCTGAGGGAAAGAGCTAGGATTTTCACTAGGATTAAGGTTTCATGGAGCAAAGCTTTGAAGAGACTGAAGCATGGGCAGGCTCACATGAATGACTTGTTTGGTGGGAACTATTTGTTCATGCAGGCAAACCCTCTCTATACTCTTCTTGCTTGATAAGACGATATTACAAATTTGTCTAAATTATGAAAAACCAAAGGATTTGAACTCGGCCATAACAGGACGGATGCAATGTTCCAAGCAACTGAAGTAAATAAATAAATTGTAGCATTGTTTATGCTCATTTCATAAGTTCATGAATGGTGTAAAGATGCTTGATGTATTCACTGGCAAATTATATTACAATTTCGTATTCTCTAGTTTTTTCTGTATTGTTGTCTGCCGACACTTAAGTCATGAAAGTTTTAATTTTATTTCAAGATCTACTTTTCTTTTGATATAATTTGTATGCATGTTTTAGATGTCCTTAATTTTCATTAATTTGAACACTTAAATTTATTTTCATTAATTTAAACCTTGACACAATGACGATGTAAAATAAAATAGAGGTTTATGATTTAAATCTTAATGTTAGATAGACTAAATTTGCAAACATCAAGTATCTGGTGACAAAATAGGGTCATGTGTAAAACAAACTAGGCAGTATATAGCGTATACACTCAAAATAAACAGAGTTCAAATAAAAAATAAAGGGTAATGTTAAGTAAATTAAATTTGCAAACTATGTGTAACCAATAATAAATAAGCATGTTAATCAATATTTAAGTAATAATCCAATCATTAACTTTCATGTCATTTAATTTACAAAATTTAGTTTATCTGACATCGTTCAAAAATAAAAGAAATGAATTCATCCCCAATACAAAGACCGAAATGACCTTACCCTTACCGGGAAAGGATAGATAAATAGCCGTTAAACCAACGAACTTTAAATTTTTTTGAAAGAGAGTGAGATGAAAGCAGCAAAGGTCGCCAAAAACCATCCCAACAACAAAGCAGACGGAGCTGCCTCTCTGCTCAAATCCTGCACTTCGCTCTGCCACCTCAAACAAATCCACGCCCACATCTTCCGATCAAACCTCCACCAGAACGCCTCCTTAGCCTCCACTCTCATCTCTTTCTACGCCTCTCTCTCCGCCTCGCCTCGCTACACCCACCTCGTCTTCACCTCTTTCCCCAAGCCAAATCTATCTCTCTTCAACCACGCCGTCAGGGCTTTCTCTAAGATCTCCGTGCTCTGTTTCGAGGCGGTGAGTTTGTATTCGCAGATGGTTTCTGTTGGAATTAGACCTGATAACTATACGTACCCTTTTGTGCTGAATTCTTGCGCTGCGTTGAGTGATATTTGTGGTGGGACTGAAGTCCATGGACGCATTGTGAAAATGGGTTTTGGGTTTTGTCTTCCAGTTTCGAATGCTTTGATTGATATGTATGGGAAATGTGGGGAGGTGGGGAGGGCGCGGAAGCTGTTTGATGAAATGTGTGAGAGAGATGTTGTTTCTTACAATGCGGTTTTGGGGGCTCATGCAAGAGGCGGGGTTGATATGGGGAGTGCTTTGGTTTTGTTTGAGGGGATGCTGGGGAAAAATGTGATATCTTGGAACGCCATGGTCGTGGGTTATGTAAATAGTGGGGATCTGGTTTCGGCAAGGGCTGTGTTTGATAGGATGCCTGACAGGAATGCTGTTTCTTGGAGTACAATGTTGGTGGGGTATACGAAAAGCGGTTTTATGGATCAGGCTAAGGCCCTCTTTGATGAAATGCCTGAGCGGGGATTGATTTGCTGGACGGCTATGATTTCAGGGTATTCCCAATATGGGAGGCCAAGCAAAGCACTTTCACTTTTCCGGAGAATGGAAAAGGCACGAGTAAAGCCAGATGCTTTCACCATGACAGCTGTGATCTCTGCATTGGCACAGTTGGGTCGTGCAGATCTGGCAAACTGGATTGGAGCATATGTGGATAGAGAAGGCATAGAACAGAATGAACAAGTGCTTACTGCACTAGTTGACATGCATGCCAAATGTGGGAATATGGAAGAGGCATGCACCATATTTGAAAAGATTCCCCTAAAGGATGTTTTCTCTTACAGTGCAATAATCACAGGTCTTGCTTCAAATGGTCATGGGGTCAAAGCGCTCAAGATCTTCCAGAGAATGCTGGCACAAAATATTGAACCCGATCGCATCACATTTATTGGGGTATTCACTGCCTGTTGCCATGCAGGACTCGTTGAAGATGGAATGGGGTACTGGGAAAGCATGGTTAAAGATTACAACATTGAGCCCGATGCTGATCACTATACTTGCACAGTTGATATGCTGGGACGCGCTGGGAAACTCAATGAGGCCAGCGATGTGGTCAAGGGAATGCCTATGGGGCCACAGCCAGGAGCACTAGGAGCCCTTCTTGCAGCATGTAGAACATATGGAAATGTCGAGATTGCAGAAAGTGTTGCTGAGCAACTCTTCATTTTAGAACCTGGGAATACTGGAAATTATACGCTACTTTCAAGTATCTATGCGTCAAAAGAACTATGGGATGAAGCCAGAAAGGTGCGGGAAGCAATGAACGGGAGAAATGCACTTAAGCTTCCTGGGTGCAGTTGGGTTGAAATTAGCAAAGGTCATGCAGCTCAAATGAAAAACCAAACTGAGACAGCAATTCAATGGTAGAATTCTTACGTGCCCTTCTCATTCAACTGCATTATAATGCACACTTACTGTTGCTAATGTAAGACCGGATGTATGCAGCTTGAGATGATCGTCAATCCCCAGGTCCAAGTTGCATGCAAGAATTTGAAAGCAACCAACCAATAAATGAACCGCGTGCTGCCAGATTTTGTTCTCCTCGGCCCTGCTTAAGCTTCCATTTCTCAATCCATTAAATCCTCAGTTGATTGGAAGCAAATACTCTAACTTATGAGCGCCCTATGTGGTCCCTTGTCACCTTATCTCACGGCCAACCCTGCTTAAATATAGTAACCAAGGGCAGATACCAAGGTAAATTTCTTCCACCACTTTCGGAATCATAAGAGCCTGCTACCAAGCCTCAAAAGTGATGCCTTCTGGTATGGATATGTGAATTCTAAGCATCTTTATGTTACGTTGGAAAATTGTGAATGTAATATCATCACCGTGGGATATAGAAAAGTAGTCGACAGGAATGTAATTACTTGCACAACATATTTTGGAAAAAGGAACATGCTGCAATAAAATCATCCTATGTTTGTCTACTATATCGTTTGAAAGGCATGTACCATCTGCACTAATTTACTTGCCTTCATGTATTTGCAAAAAAATTATATTGATGAACATTGTTGACTATCAAGCGAAGTGCAGTAGTTGGTGTTACAACTGCAAGGACAGAAAAATACAATGTTGAACCGAAAGTTGAGCAAGTTATGTTATATTATCTTTTACTTTGTCCTGATTATGATGCAGCCTTGATGAAAGCCATGCTTGGGAACAAGAAAGTTAGAGGAACGAATGAAGGCGATCCAAACAAGTTCATAAAGCCCCCCATGAAAGGAATAGCTGCTGTCACGAATGTATTCGCTATGAAGAAGAGCGCTAGCAGGCAGAACCTTCGCTTCAAATGTTAGATCTCAAAAGCAAGGTAAGCACAAACTTCTCAACTACAATACGCAGATAAAGACACTTGGATTATAAGGGATGTCTACGTATTACTGCAGTATGTATACCGGAGACCCTGTCCAGATCCACACGTGCAAAGACAATGCAAGCATGGAAGACAGAAATGTCACGTAGTCGACTAGATATGGGTTATATGGTTGTGATGGATGTGCTAAATGTATCTGGTTAACAGGCTCGGGTCATAACTTTTACAGATCTCGAGTTTGTATTTGATATACCACGTTGGCATTGAAAAGTTTGTGATATATTCGATGTACCATGTCGCGGCCTTGTATAAATATTACAGCAATATATTTACATGAACTCTGTTTTTTTGAAATAAGAATATTGCAGCAATGTATTTACATGTACTTCATGTATTTGCAAAGAAACTATATTCCTTAACATTGTTGACTATCAATCGAACGGCAGAAATTGTGGTGACGATGGCAAGGAGCGAAAAAATAACGATGTTGAACCAATGCCATAAAATCTTCTCCAGTGAAGCTGCCTTTCCCTTCACCTGTGAGAAAAGAAAGCCAAACATGTAGCAAGTTAAGTTTTACGATCTTTAACTTGGTCCGAAATATGGTGAGGTAGAGCGAAATTACCTTGATGAAAATCATGCTCGGGAACACGAAAGTTAGAGGAACGAGTGTAAAGGATCCAAACAAGTTTACAAAGTCCCCCATGAAAGGAAAAGCTGCTGTTACAAATGTATTTACTGCAAAGAGGAGGGCTCGAACATACAATCTGCGCTTCAAATTTCCTTTTGAGTTCATGCTCTTATCGAGTTTGAGGAACTTGGTATCGAGGAACTCGTGGATTGGTGCCACAAACATCTGTTTTTGACGGAGAAATTGGAAGTTCAGTAGATCATAAAGTGAAGACTTAAAGAACGAGAAACAAGTGCACAATTGCTACGACTTACATGTTGGGAGACTATGGATTGTAGAAAAACAGCGGCATTTATGAGAACCTTAACCGATTTAGGACCGCTTAGCTCTTGAGGAAGGTATTCGGATACAGTTGAGCCATAAGCCCAGTATCCTACTATGCTCACTCCATAGTAAAACACCAGTCCCACGGTAAACTGCAGATTTAAAGCTTTCCTCATATTTGTTACTGCAGGAGCTCTTAGAGTTGACTGCATATACGAAAAAAAAACCAAATATCCGAACCAGAATCATTGAGTCTTTCCATGTTGTTGGTGATTCAGAAAGTCTATTTCTTGAGATACAAGCAACAAACCTGTATTTCGAGTAGCAATCCGGAGGAGTTGCATACGATAATAGCTGCAATTGCACCAAAGGCATTGAGTACTCTGTCTGCTTCGTTTCCATGGATCGCATAATCTCTCTTGGTGTTAGCTTTCCCTTCACGAGAATTATCACATTGTGAGTAAACGTTCGTTGCAAAGCGAAATTATAGACATTCGAACAAAAGGAGCTGAAAGAAGAGGATTTTCTACCATCTTTAACCACTACCACCAAGAGTATGACAATGTAAGCGAAGGTGATAACGGTAGATGGTCCGAGCCAACTTCTCATTGCAGACAATGTTGGAATGAAGAATGCAAATACAAAGTAGGTCACTCCGGTGATGGCGATAAAATACTGAAGCCGAAATGGTGAGTCGCTGAATTCGGAGTTAATTTCCTGTTTGCAAAGCCAATAATTATGAGTCTCATTTCCATAAACAAAACACGTACTTAAATAGATAGTGTTTTAGAGTTTAGGAATACTAAGTACCTTGAGCGCTCTTCCCCCAAGTAGAATGAAACCCATGTTTCCAAGTAGAAGGGTCAAAAATTGGAAAACCCAAGTGGTGTAAAACATCTCCCTGCCTGTTTAAAAAAAAAAAAAAAAAAAAAAAAAACACAAACTAATCAGTAACCTTGTTTGCTTTGACTGAAAGTTTATATATACTCGGGGCTCGTTTGGACGCTGAGACTAGACAAGACTGCAACTCAGTCCGAGCATGTCTTATAGTGAGTCACAACTCGCTAGATAGGACTTGTAAGACATATATGTCAGACTTTTGTCATTTTTAATAAGTTCAGATCCAACATTTATGATTTCACCAAACATCACCAGGACTAGTCTAGTCCAGGCCGAGCCACAAAAAAATTGTCCACTCTAAAAGTCAAACTTTGGTTAGTATACTTTGTTGCAAATCGTACCCACCAAATAAAAAACCCATGAGATCTCTGTATCTGATGAACCTTTGGCCATCGATGAAGTGAAAAGCAGCCAAAAGCCGGATTGCATAGGCACTGTAGAGCCCAAAAACCAGAAGGCATATGATCCCCCACGTCCATCCCAAAGGCACCAACATAAGATTTGAAAAGCTCAATATATATCCACAGTTAAAGGCTGTCACCAGCATCACCCCAACTTGTTGCCATGAATCTGTTTAGTTTTCAAGAATCCAGTTTAATGAATGCCTTGGAAATATATAGAAAATAAAAAACACCAAATTAAAGTTATAAATTCCTTTAGAAAAACTCATAAGAGGAACAAATTCTCCCGTGTAACCGGTGATTTATCGTCGTATGTTTATCTAACATAGTGGCAAACAACCGGTTTCACCCAAGATTTTACCGAGAGGGTACACGTCCATATACACGAAGAACAACAAAAAGCATAGGATTTTCAGAAGACCTGATACAAATTTAGCAGGTAGAACATATATTTTCTGCATGGAAACTTACGAAGTAAACATAAAGGTGACCTTCTTATGCTAAAATTCTCTCGTATTGTCGAAGTTTTCTTTTATTAAGTTTAAATTTTATAAGTAAAATCGTACCGTGGCCAATTGTATGAGCAGATGGGAGGGCATATCGACGATCTTGGTCACCCTTTATATGGCCTGCTTCAGTGCTCAAAGCTTCTTTGGTGTTTCTTGTGTTACCTTCTTCTCCTTCCATTGCAGCTACAAATTTAGAAGCTTAGATCTCAAAAGCAAAAGCAAGCACAAAAGCTCCTCTAATTATACAAATATCCCACGTTCCTATTTCCCACTAAATTATCTGAGACAGCGCAGGACGACTTCAACAGACAGATGTCACGTTACCATGCATATCGTCTTACCATCGTCCTAAGTTCCTAACACCATTATTGCATAGACTGGGCCCTATTGTTGACTAACTTACGTTTTTCATTTGTTTATCCCTCGACATGGTTGTCTCATGTGCGTTTATTTGTTTGTTAATACTTGAAGTGTATAATGTTGAGTTTCTACTCACGCGTTCCAAGTTCGAAACTTTTTTCTCATTTAATTTATTGAATAATTTCGAATTCTCTTACATCTCCTTAATAATAATAACAAATTTGAAAAAAAAAAAACCTATGCTTCAAAATGTTCAACTTGACGTAGTGTAAACTATGATTCAAAATTCTCTCATATCCCTTGTTAATTTCTGTCATTTGATATTCTTTAATTTAGTTCATCCGACCATAAATTAAGAATATGTATAAAGTAAAAAAGATGTAAGATAACCTTACCAAAAACTCATTTTCAATGAAGAACCCAAAAAAAATCGGTGTCTCTATACTACTTTTAAAAAGAAAATAATAAACGTGTATTTTTTATTCTCACACACACTTATTTAATTTTATTTGATGATTTTATTTAGATTTATTCAGTCCATGACCAGATTTAAAAACCTATCATTTTAGAGTAAAAAAGGCATGACGGCTATAATAATCAAAGTATTGGAGATGACCTAACGGTCCTAAGCGTTCGAGATTCCATAAAGAATCCCTTAATGTCGTAATCATAATGAATTAATGAGTGAAGCCCACTAGTATGATTCATATCATATTAAAATCTTAATCAGTATGATTCATATCATATTAAAATCTTAATGTCGTTATCATATCACAAATTAATATTAATTTTCATATCAATATTATAAAATATTCGTGAAAACTGATGTAATGGTCACTGTCACTTGTACAAGAAATTTGAAGGTATTTGATTGCACATGGTCTTGAATGTGGAAAATTTGTTAGTAGATAGACATTAAAAAAAAAAAAATTCAAGGACATCTTGAAAACTTTGCAATAAAATTAGCATTTTGTTTTAGCTCAAATAAGAATTTTTGGTGTAAGAGATTTGTAATTCAGTTGAATAATTGCAATTCGTACATCTTAAGTCCAATCTCTCATCTTTTAAAAATAAATAAATGAAAATATAGCATTTTGATAATTTTATGAAGATGACAATGAAGGCAGAAATCATTTCGTTTTTTTTTTAACAAACGATGTTATCTATACTAAATGGGAGGGAGTTCGGTTTAGCTTTACACTGAGCTAGCAATAATGTGATTCAAATTCGCCTTTGGCGAGAATCGAACCTTAAACTTCTCACTTACAAATGAAGAATAATACTACTAGATCATAGTACTAAGTGACAAAAATTATTTCATCTTAGAAGTGGTTTAAATGAGGATTAATATCATGTAAGTACTTTTACACATGTAATTGTAAGATGTTTCTTTCTAGAGTGTTGAAAACAAGGAAATCACTTGAGGCCTTTTTAGGAAACTTCTAAGATACCAAAATCACTAACAAGGAATATATTACTTCTACAGAAACACACTCAAATGATTGGGCGGGCTCTATTCATGTTGTTTCTACCTTTTTTTTTTTAGAGAGATTCTATGTACGCTCAAGTTTTGTCTATGAACACTCTTTTTTTTTCTAAAAACTCAATTTACTTTCACACATATTTTTTGACACCCAGAACTACTAGATTTTCGAGAATACCATTTTTATTTAGTATTTATGAATTTATTTTTTTCTGGACATTCATTTTTTGTTTTTTGGGGACACCCATTTTCCTTATAGGCTTTCTCTTCAATTTGACAATTTCCTCTGATAACTTAGTTCATTAAAAAATTGAGCCAAAATTTTCCAATTTATACAGAAACATATGATTGGCTAAATGACAAGATATGGCAACACAAAAAATAAAAATATAAATAAAATGAATTATTAATATTCTAAAATTCTTATTATGCACTTTAAATTTTCTATATTTAAAAAAAAAAAAAAAAATAGACCAAGCTCGCTCCTTCGTTCTTGGAAACCTTCGAGAACTCTTTTTTTTTTTTTTTTTTTTTATCAAAACCTTCGAGAAATTTAACATAGATTAATGTTGTTTCTAGGCCCATTGGGTTTTTAATTCAACCTACATGTTCATCACAAGTTGGATGTTGGGTTTTACAACATATGCTTCAACATCTCAAAGCCCATAAAACAAAATCTCCCTCTCTCTCTCTCTCTCTCTCTCTCTCTCTCTCCTCTTTTTTCCCAATAACCCCTCTTTCCTTTCCTACTCCTCTAGCACCTCTCCCTCCACCCTTATCCTCTCACAGCTCTCCTCCTAAAACCCTTTCACTCTCTCTCCCTATCTCCTCTCCTCTCCTCTCCCACAAAAAAAATGGCTATGGCTTCTTCTGCAACTTCCAATCTATTCAAGACCTTATCAATGGCGGATTCATGCCTAGTTTCCCTCCCTTACCTCTCCGCCGCCAAAACCACCAACCCATTTCTCTCAATTCCCTCCAAACCCATCAAGCTCCACCTCTCCTACACTTCTTCCTCGTTCTTCTCGCCGCCGCTGTCCCTCGGGAACAAACCCCACTTCTCCTCCGTCGTCGCCTTAGTGGCCCAGACCTCGGACTGGGGACAAGAGGACAACACGCTCACCATTGACGGCGCGGAGGGCAGCGAGAGCGAGGAAGGAGGGGTCTTTGAGGAGAGAGAGGAGGAGTCGAATGTCGAGCCACCGGAGGAGGCCAAGGTGTTTGTTGGGAATTTACCTTTTGACGTTGATAGTCAGAAATTGGCTGAGCTTTTTGAGAGGGCTGGAATTGTCGAGGTTGCTGAGGTGAGGCTTTGAATTTCTTTTGATTTGTTTCGTCAAAAGTTTGTGTCTTTCGGTTCTGATGGTTTTCGGATGTTTGAGGTTTCTATGTTTCTGTTTTGTTGTTCGTAGGTTATTTACAACAGGGACACTGATCAGAGTCGCGGGTTTGGATTTGTGACTATGAGCACTGTTGAGGAAGCTGATAAGGCTGTGGAACTCTACAGTCGTTATGTAAGTCGCTTATAAATTTCGCTTCTTGAAACTTGAAGTTGGTTCTTTAGTGATTTTGATTTGTATATTTTTATGCCTGAATGTGAATGTGAAATGAAATAAGACTCGATACGAGAAAGATAGAACCTTTCGATATGATATGATCTAGTAAACTAGAATGAAATGATGGCTGAACGTGGCCCATGTTTGCGGCGAGTAGTTGATGATGTATTGTTTTGAGGTTCTGGTGGTTTAACCCAAATATTCAGGTGCCTAAAATCCTTTGTTCCTCTCACTTATACTTTGGTTTCTATTCTCCATTCGATCGAATGATGTAATGGAGGAACATCTATCAACTTAGGGCAACCAAGAAAGCTTCGCATCGGAACCTTTACCCTTAGCTCGTTGCTAGGTAGTCATGAGCAATTGGTTATATATTTGTTTAGCTTGTATGGATTGTGGTAACCTTGAAGGTAATTCTCAGAGGTACTGGATAACTTCTGGTAATAGGAGAATGTATTGTAATTTTCCATTCATGGAAAGTGGAAAATTGGAAAATCCATTGTAAATATTAACTGTCATTATTACATCTGACCTGCAAGGTCATTCGTCCTAAGACGGAGAGAAGCAAATTTGTAGAAAGGAGTCTTGACATAGAAAAGAGCTCACCGAGGTAAAGTATCTACAGCTACCTCGTTGCCCAAATAAGTTGAGATAAAAGCATAAATCAAGCCCTATGATGTTGCCAATGTCTGGCATTGCATGTAGCCAAATCAATTCCGTCATTCCCTTGGCAAAGGTTAGGTATGAAATGCATCGTGGAACATTTGTGGTGAAACTCTTGAAATTCTTCCCATATGTGCTTTCTTGCATGTGTCATGAGAAGTGCTCAGTAGGTTCCCCGAATGTGTAGTGAAGTAAAGCGTGGTGCTCATAGGTTCCAATCAACCTCTGGCTCTTGTTCGACTTCTGGGTGCATATGAATAACAATATTTTTCAAGTGTATTGCCCTCAATGTTTCCATACTATTATATCACATACTAATAAAAGGATTTTATAGCATGTTTTAACTTTAAGGGTTCTTTGCTTCTAATTTTTTGTGGTCTTATACTTTGAACAGGATTTAAATGGAAGGCTCTTGACTGTCAATAGGGCTGCCCCAAGAGGAACACGCCAAGAACGCCCACCCCGTTCATTTGGATCTGCTTTTAGAATCTATGTTGGTAACCTCCCATGGAATGTGGATACTCCTCAACTGGAGCAAATTTTCAGTGAACATGGTAGCGTTGTGGAGGCTCGAGTAGTCTTTGACAGAGAAACTGGACGATCCCGTGGTTTTGGCTTTGTAACAATGGCCAGTGAAAGCGAAATGAATGATGCCATTGGTGCACTCGATGGACAGGTATTAAGCGTTTACATTTTCCACCTTCATGTACAGTTTTTTTTACGCAAATGAGATGCGTCGTTCATGTTTTAATATGAGTTAAATACCGTCTTACTTGAGTTGGCTTGTGCCTGCAGAGTATCGACGGGAGGGCGATCAGAGTAAATGTTGCAGAAGAAAGACAAAGGCGCAGTCCTTATTGACGTAGCCGGGATGAAACCTAAGTTCCGTTTTGGTTCCTTTTTCATTAGATAAGGTTCATGCTAGCCGGCTTTCAGCAAGGTTTTTGTGATTTCTACTTGTAGAATTATTGTTCAAGTCCAAAACGATATATAGAGTCCAAGTTTGACTCCATAAATTTTGGGGAACTACTGTTTGTGGTTACTATCAGTGTTTAAAATATCGATATAGTAGGAAAGATCGATGAATGTATCGATATCGATATCCAGTTGCCTTCGACGAAATTTATGAAACCTTGGAGTGAGATCAGATAACTCATTCAAATTTAGTCAAAATTAAAATAAATAAAAAATTCAAAAGTTCGACATGTGCAATAAATGCCGGCAAAATTTCTGTAGTAAATTTATAAATATCGTTGATGATTCTTTGATTTTTCTATTTAATTGATATAAGGTGAAGCTTGCATTTCACCTCCTTTCTATCAACGAAAATATTGACACATACAAAAATATCGACAATTACATGAATACTTTAAACACTAGCTACTATTCTGTTAAGAAGCGCTAATGGAGCATTTGAATGTCACTATATTTCCATTTGCATTGTATTTCTGTGTGGAATCATTTCATTTGAAGAACTAAAGGTCTAAACAAAACCGCCGCGACGGAAAACATAGTAGAAACTACTTATTTAAGTCATGTATCTCCCAACAGGCAAAAGTTTGAATGCCCTTGAGACTAGATGAATTTACAGAGAAAAATCCAGAGCGTTATCTATCTATCTGTACACAAATATTGAGCTGGTAGCACCCGAGAATGGAATAGAGCATCGCTATGACGGTTGGTGAAATACATAGCGCCTCACGAGCCTCGCAGCTGATCATCTCGGTTTGTGAGAGGAACATAACGAACCGAAGTTTCATCCCGGACACTGATAGAACCATCCAAGTCCTTGTCCACAACCTTAAGTTCCTGGAATATGTTTCCCACTGGAATCACCATTCTGCCTCCAGGCTTCAGCTGGTCAATAAGTGGTTGTGGGATTTCTGGTGCAGCTGCACCGACGTGAATAGCATCATAAGGAGCAAACTCTGGCCAACCTAGCCTTCCGTCTGCCACAACAAATGTCGAATCAATAAAACGAGTAATTGCACTCTGCATGAGTAAAATCGTGTGTTGAGCTGATGCGTATGCAGGTGGATATACTTGACCATATGCATCGAGTGCATGCCGGTGTTTTGTTTCCGGTGCATAAACTAATGCTAAGCAAGTTTTCATTACAAATTAACAAGACAGTGAATTTTGTTTTCTTTTGTGTCGGTTTCCGGTTTCCATTTCAAGGTTTCAGAAGACATACCACCGACATGCACTGAGAGGGAGCCTTCTCTCAATAATGTTCCTGCTGCACTTTTTTCAATATTCGGAATTGAGGAAGAAACCAACTCAGGAATGTGCTCGACGCCAACTGCGCGACCTTGTGGCCCAACCATCAACGCAAAACACGCCGTCAAGTATCCCGTCCCTGCAAAACAAAATACAGTAAAGGAAGTTCCAGGACTTCTACGACTGCCATCAACACGAAGCATAACAATTGCAAACTATTCCGGTTTACATAGTATTCGAAAGTCAAAATGTGAATTTTCACTTCCGAGAATGTGTTAACTGCAAACACGAAATAATATAGAAATGTGATAGACAATCTTACCCGAGCCAACATCCAAAGCGCGCATTCCAGGCTGCAAATGCTCTTCCAACAATTGAAGGCACATTGCATGCATATGAGGTGCAGAAATGGTGGCATTATAACCTATTGCCATGGGGGAATCAACATAAGGTGGGGTCCCGTCCGGCACAAATAAAGCCCTATCAATAGTCTCCATCACTTCAGCAACCCTTTTGGATCTAATCACTCCACAACTCTTCAAATGATCCACCATCCCCTTGTTCTTATTAATGCTACTCCCGGACCAGTATTGCTGCAAATTAAACAAAACAATTACAAAAAGAAAAGCTCGGTTGCGATGTTGTTCCCACAATCAAAACTGACAGAGAATTAACGCCGAAATAGAACTAATCAACAAAGTGATTCAAATAAACACAAACAAGCAGAACCCACATTGGAATTCAAATAAACACAAACAAGCACAATCCACATTGGAATCCAAATCCTATTAACATTAATCAGATTACAAACACAAATAAAGCAACAAAGCGCTTCGAATTGGGGACTAAAATGATCACAAATCCATACTATTTGGGAACACAGCTACAAGAATCAGATCATACCACAATTAATCATCATTCAAACTCTATTATTTACCCATAACAAATGACATCCAAATCCAATGGGTTGACAATAAAGTTATAAGAAACTAATTAACAAACACAAAGATTGAATTTTTACACGAACATAAGCAGAAAGAACGAAAAACCAGAAACCCAACGCTCTGTTTAGTCACAAGGAGAGAGAGATAGAGAGAGATACCTCCATTCCGCGGAAGACAGAGTTACGGTTACCCGTGAGGAAATTAGGGTTTTGGAGGAGAGGGAACGAGGAAAAGAGAACAGTGGTTGGGAGGAGTGCGAGTGCGAGTGCGTGACGACGACTATGGCGCTGAGCGAGAGTGGTGAAGGTTAAGACTTGTTGCACACCGGGCGCTGGATAGCGGAAACCATTCGCTAAGCGGCCTAAAGCACTTCTTGTCGCTCTCGCTGCTACAGGGGATATAAAAAGACAGCGCATTTCATTTGCCACGCTCTCTCTCTCTCTCTCTCTCTCTCTCTCTCTCTCGCTCTTTTTTCTCTCTTCTTTCACGGCACCGTCTACTTTACACTTGTCATGGCCCTGCCACTTCTCCGCACCGACTTACGCCCCCACAAATTTTGGGCTCATTTTGATTGTTTGAATTGGGCTTCGACTTGCTAAGGCCCAAGATGTAGAAATGGTTTGTTGGGCCCACTGTTTGATATACTAGTCCAAGGAGAGCTTGATCCCGAGTTTGGGTTCGGACCCAGTGAAGCCCTAACTCGTCAGGAATCTCTTCAACCAGGCATCGAGAGTTAGGCTATTTGTCAATCGAAAGAGTTAAACATAACCCCGTCCATAATTATAGTGATGTAAAAAATTATTTTAAATGAGCAGTGTCAGGTTATACTTATGTATCATCTCAATCGAATAGGCTAAACATAGCCCCCTAATAATTTATTGGTTAAGTTAATCAAACTACTGTTGGATATTTTCAAATCTAATCGTTGAATTTAAATCAATTATTACAACTAAAGAGATGGGCCCCAAAAAAGGGTTAAGAATGGGAGCTACATTTGGCCAGCCTGATGTCTTTCTGGCCAAATAATAGCCTTGTGGACTTTATAAAATTATAGCCCAACTATCGATTGGAGACGAATTTTTGGAGAAATCAAGTCTATTTTATTTATTTTATTTTTTTTTGGCTTTTGAACCTTCAGTCTTCTCCATTGGAGATGGCCTTAAGATCTTCGCAACGAGCTCAATACGAAGATCAATTTGAAGCATAAATCTTATCCTCAACAAAAAAGCAAATCAACATGAGGTCAAGGTTAAACCCTAAAACCCTGATCGATGGATCTAAAGCCTAGGCCGAAATCGAAACCCAGAACCCGTTACAGACGGGTATTGGGTACTTCTTCTTTCGCTTAGGTAATGCCCGTCTTGGCTCAAATAGTCAACAACCAAATTACGCTCCACCCAAATTGGGACGGGTCGAAATATTGAGCTTCAGCCAGTCCAGTCGAACCGTCGAACCCATTTTCTCTATAAGCCTAGCTAGTTTGGTTCTTGGGCCAACCCATGCTAACCCAAGCCCATGTCTTTATGGTAGTCGAATGTGGGAGGTGTCCAATTTTTATGCCTAGCGATCAAACAAGCAAATATGCACACACGTGATTTGTTTGGTAAAGTTCACCTCTCTTACTTACTATCTCCCCACATGTCGGTTTACACTGTGATAGAAATAATACATAACTGCTTATTAATATAGTATTAACATGAAGCATCGTAATAACAATGCATCCGTATCATAAAAGTTCTCTGCTTAATAGAGTCATAGTATTCACGGAATGAGGATCCTGTCCGGATCTTTTTTGTGAGGATTTCAGAAATTTTCTACTCACGTTCGTTCATCGTATATTGTGCAGCCAGTTTTTGTCAGGTACTATTTATATTCAATTTTTTAAATAAAAAAAGTACAATAATTTCTGATCGCATGACGTACGATGAACAGACGTGATTGGAAGATCTTTGGGATCCGCATAAAGATTATCCGAAGAAGATCCTCGTTCGTATTCACGACCCCTCAACTGTGTCCGTGTCCCTTGCTTTTCCCTTTCATTCAGAAATGTCTCATCACATAATTCCTTTCTTCAGGACAATGCATACTCATTGGTTTCGGATTGAAGCTTGCAGTTAACTGCCCATGATTTCATGTAAAAATTCCACATGATCCACACCAGGTAAGAAAAAAAAAAGTAAGCACAAAAGGTACCAATGGGAGCAGATTATCCTGGATTTTATCTAATTAAGTATAACTTTCCACAAAGAGAGAAAAGTAAAAGGGAGAAAAAGAAAAGAAAGTGAACAATAATAAAGTGGGTAGGTCTATTCACACATTATTTTTTACCTTTCATATATTTTGTTAATTTTTTTCCATTCGTCTTCATTGATTCATTCGATCTGATGGACGGAGATTGAGAGGAAAAGTGTGAAAGGTAAAATTGAATGTATGAATAGCACCACCCGAATAAAGAATGCTATTGTTTACTTGGATGCTTGGCAAAAGTTTGATTATCCAAATTTTAAATCTTGTTTATGGTTCTCGCTTAGGAATCAATGGCCCAAAAGATCTAGAGATTAAGTTAACTCAAACGACGAGGTATGCACACGTTGACATGGCCTCTATTTACAAGAAATGTTTTGAGTTTGGAGTCTTCGCGACGTTCTTACCATGGTACTCATACTTATTAATAAAGACCGACAATTGTCCATATTTATGTGTATTTGGTGTAAATTTAGATTTTTTCTTCTTGAAGTGCTTGACATGATTCACCTCGTATCTCTATTTTAAAATATCATCTTCATGTACATATTTAACGTATTGAAGTCTACACAACGCTTCTAACACATGAGACTCTCGTACATATCAACGAGTGACAATCGTCCACGCATATTAGCTCTACTTCCAAATTTACTTTTCGACAGAAAACCTCAAATCAAAGATAATGCAGCGGAAT